TTTCTTTGCATACGGCTGCCGTCGGCAATTGTGCTCTTCCGAGGTGTTGCTGCTGCTTTCGCTGCTGTTGTTGCTGCTGTTGCGTGGGTAGTACAGCGTTGACCCTGGCTGTAGCCGCGCGCCACAAGCTGTGCGCTTTCTGTGTCTCGCATCATTCACTTGCTTCAAGTGTTCCGCTGGACTCCTGAAGAAACACGCATGCACACACGCATATATATAAATCAAGTGTGCAGGCAGGGTTCCCCTTCTGCTCGCACAATTCAGCGTGTACACCGGTGCGGACAGGTCGCCAAACAAAGCCAGCAGTTGCAAATTAAAACTGAAGGCAACTGCAGCAATAATAAATGCACCAAAATGCAGTTGGTGCTGCTCATGCTGTTCCTTGCCCCCTCCTTACCTCTCTCGAGAGACAACGAATGCCTCCTTGAGTCGCAGGAGTCTCTGTGCAGAGGCCCACGAGCAACCGCACAGCCGCTGAAGCACTCGACTGACCCTCTGGGGTCTCTCCTCAACACCGCCGCCCGTCAGATGCAGGGGGGTGCTGTACGCTGCCAAGCCAGCAGCACCTGAGAGGGAAGGCAAAGCAACAGCAGAGTCCAGAGACGCATGTGTGGTGCCTAAATATCAGCATCTGCAGCTAATCGGTAACTGCTGCTGTGCAGTGAACAAGCTCCGTCTGCTCTCTGTTCACATATTCTGTTTCGCAGTTTTACGCCCTGGATCGGGGTAGGGAGGGGCAGCCCACCTATCGCTTCCTTCAGTCCTTCAGGCGCCGCAATAGGCGGCGGGACATGTTGACATTCTTCGAGTTCTCCGAAAGATGAGTCAGACAACGGGCCTGAGACTGTAGTCGCTGCTGTGGCTGTAGCTGTATCGGTAGGTGTAGCAGCAGTTGTAGGTATAGTTGCCTTTGCTCCACCACTCATGGTATTACTACACACACTGCGGACTTCCCTTGTGAGCTCGTTTGCGGCTTTTCGCCCGTCTATGTCGGTGTTAGTTCTGCAGTTTGTAGGGCGAAATTGCGTTAGAGACCTCTGCTGCAACAGAGATCGCTGCTGGTGGTTGCGTGCTACTAGACAACATGGTGGTTTCCTCTGCAGCTCCCTCTGGCGGCATTTGAAGGAGCTGGAAATTCCAACAAAAACTGAGCCCGGCTGTAGGATCTGCGATGTTGCTTGACAACAGAGAAAAGGTACTCTGAGCATCTGATGAGGAAACGTAGAGGATGCCGAGGGGTGCCGGTTCTCCCGAGAGTGGACGGCGTCGGAACGCCATATATGCAGCGAAAATGACGAGGTTTTCCAGAAAGGAAAGAATGTTTAATTACCGAAACAATAAATCATTTATCCGATGAATGGCTTATTGATTGATAGAGAAACCTTCTGTTAGGGCACAAGCCTTGCTCCGTTCAGCACACGTCATCGAGTCTCCGCGTAACTCTGCGAGGATAGAGTTCATGGATACATGGCAATTAATCCAATTTCCAATTTCAAACAAAGCACGATAAATAAATTCGGAGCTGCTGGATTCACCGGAGTATTGTAACGACGCCAGACCGGCGAGCCGACTCGACTCCCACGCAGTACGCCCGTTCTACTCAATGGGCAATGCATTGCAATTGTTATATCTTTCTTCAGGAAGTCAGTAGCTACATTTCATATTTGTATTTCCGATACAAAGTCCAACACACAGTACTAGCTGCAGAACAATATACACTACTGATATCTTGGGCCCGGTGTAACCCTCCGGCGGTTTCGCCCCTTCGCAGCTACTGCTAGAGAAGTGATGAAAGACACTGCAACACTACATCGCTCGAACATACGGGACATTCAGCAACCACAACCAGCACCTCTTTTCCATCCGTGCGGTGCGGTTGTCTGCAGTTCTATGGACAACAACGCTGCACTAGCTACCCTGCACCTTCAGCTAATGTCAAGTGCTTGTGTGCACCAGCTGTCTGCAGTGTACGAAGCGCTGCCGTACGCCATAGACAGTCTTCCGTGACCTGTGACATCTCTCTGGTGGTTCTGGTAAATACTGTAGGCAATATTTTACAATGAAAAGCGTCAACGCCAGAAGACGCTGAGTTAGATACAGGATTAGGTGGTCTGCATCGTTTTGTAGCGACACCCATAACTCCCACCGCCTCAAAAACCGAAACTAACTCATACAATAAACAAAACAGCAGGCATTTATTGGGGCTCGCAGCAGACGCACAGCTCAGCACGTCCCCTGAGCTGGTGTCAGCCTACACTAGCGGAGCAGCCTCTGTCCCCCAGGGATTCAGTTTCGCTGGGAGCTGCACCCGCTGCACATGTGCCCCCGCCATTTGAGAGCCGTGAAAACTTCTCAGGGCTCTCCTGTAGACTGAACATATTCAACTATCTACTGTATGCATTCAGAGACCGTCACCCTCACGATGCCGGCGTTAACAGAGGCAGCACAATACAGATGAACGGACGGCAGTGCCATCATTGGGCCTCATAATGCCGCTCAGATATCTGAACATCGCCTCATCCTCTCTTTTTTTATCTCCTGAAACGACCTCCTCTCGTGTCTCGCTCCTCGTCGGAGTAGTCCCGCCGACGCGGACTGCAGCATACACAGACAAAGTAAGTGAAAATGAAGGTGCAAATAAATGTGTAACTCATTCGGCGAGCCAACCACGAATTAAGTGCGCCTCTACCACCAAGCAGCCTCAGCATGCATGCATCCATATGAGAATTCTGCAAACAAACTATACACCCCAGCCTTAAGCTCTAATGTAAAGCTTAGACCTCTACACACACCTGTAAGAACGTCGTCTGTCAACGCTGCGGCTGCGGCTACGGCCCCTTCGGCCGCGGTAGTCGTTGTAGTCGCTCCCCTCGCTGCTGTACCCGGGGCTGCAGCACAAAGCAGCAGAGGAGCAGCAGATGAAGACAGCAGCAGCTACAGAAGCAAACAACCTGCTAACATATATTCAGTGCGACGCACCTGCGCCGTGTGTCACGGCCTCGGAAGCCGTCGGGGGAACCTCGTCGTCTGCGNTATTCAGTGCGACGCACCTGCGCCGTGTGTCACGGCCTCGGAAGCCGTCGGGGGAACCTCGTCGTCTGCGCCCTGGTGGACTCATTCGGCGGCCCTTAGCGCCCGGCCCCTTTGCGATTTCCACGCGAAGACTGCACAAGGGGCGTACACCTCAGAAAAATGCTATCAATGAAGGAATGCAGGCTGTCCGGAGGTGATGAGCAGCATCATCCGCTCGTCAGGAGCCTTCCAGTTTCGAAATCCGGATTGTACAGAGAGCCCGGTGTCGGGTAGGTACGTCGATGGGATAAAACGCAGTATATACTGCGTGCGCCGTCTACAGAGCGGCATGCAAACGCCATCGTGCGTTCAAATGCGTAAACCAACACCAACGGTACACAGTCCACACTGCAAGGTGAATATGAAACAATGGCCAGAATACAGCAGCACCCAACTTGTTTACCCGACAACTAAGCCGCAGCGCAGACGCAGACGCAGGGAAGATAAGAAGACAGCACCGCACTGCAGGAGGCTGAGGGAGGCTGAGTGAGTTGGGTGTGCTGAACAGCCAACAGCCATAACCCCCGTACAGGCAGGCAGGCAGGGGAGAATCGGGAGTAATGAAGTGAAGTGAAGCGACGAGCCTACGACCAGAGGCACCTTCGCATGATGCGAGCGCCTAGCCTGTCAACTTGCATGCGTTCAGCTGCAGATAAGCCGCGATGTTACAAACAACAATGACAAAGGCTCACTACTTCTCCCGATGCAGTATCCCGTCTGTGGCCTCCACCGCGTCTCGGGCGTCCCGCATGTCTTCAAATGTCTTCAGCACAAAATCGCACAAGATAAAATAGTGTAATGTGCAACACAATGAACACCCCAACACCCGCCAACTGCTGCGGCCGAAGCAAGCAAGTCTGTTCACTCTAATGCGGACTCACCACGAAGGCAAACCCAGGAGGGTTCCTCGCCACCCAAATATTGCTGAGCTTCCCATAGCGCCTGAATATCTCCTCCAGCTCCGAAGATGTGGAATCAGGGTCTAAATTTCCTGAAAATGACAAGGTGAAACACGCCCAGACGCCAGTGAAGCGTGCATAAAAGTGTAGGGGATAAACGCGACGCAAATTGAGGGAATACGTGAGATACAAAAGTGCCATAACTAACGAAGTACTAAATAAACGCACCCACATAGACCTTCCGCCCGTGCGTCAACTCATCATCCATGCGATGCATTTTGACCTGAGCACAGCAGGCAGCAGAACGCACAGCCCAACGACAACTCCCCCCCCCCCCNCCCCCCCCCGTAGATGCTGCCCATTAGTATAGTTCAAGCTCTAGGGTTCATGCTACCACAACAAAACAGGCAATATCCCGCACAAAGCAACTGGGCAGGTTCAGCGACAGTCGCAGCGGCAACGGGCGCGCACTGCAGTCGCGCAGACCCAGGCTATCTATACACCCCAATATCGGCCTCCAACGCTCAAAGTATGCACTAATAATGTGAATTCGAAAAACGAACCGGTTCTTCTTGTGTCTCGAGAACCCCGATGCAAGCACGCGACGACTCGCGTTGGTCGCTGGGAGCTCCCCAAGCAGAGATGGAGGTCCACTTCAGGAGGAAAGTAGTTCCACCGCAAATACCAAGATAATGAACAATAATTCAATCCATTTGAATTGATCTTGTGCGACTAAACACCTCGCTTTCGCTACGCCTTCAGTGCCTGGCAGCCCCACTTGCGTGGCAACCTGTGCATGTATATTGGGGGGGCCTCCTGCTGCTGGGACGCCAACCCGCTGCAGCGGTGCAGGCTAGAGATACTTTTTGACGAATGAAAATTATCTATACGCTGTGTCATGCATAGAGAAGAAACAATAGACTGACTTTNAATTTGGCTTTATTTGTATAATTACACCAACAACTTTGGTGCTGTAGCATGAGTTAGCGCAGACGCTTTCACCGGGTGTTGGCACGTTGCGTGTAAACGCTTGCAAACGTTCCACAAGTACGTTCGGAGGTAAAGCGTGCAGCAAAGGAAACTTCGGTGAAGCTTCCTTGAGCGCACGCGTGGGGTTGGCTGTACTACCAGCCGCAACGGGGTGCATTGCAACTCCATTTTTGGCTACTTCCTCCCCGCAGCACCCAGTCCCTGAGCTCAACGCCCAGTAGGCCGAGGGGCCGGGGAACGAGGTGTGCTACTTTTGGGGGGACTCTTGCTTTAAGTCTTTGCCTACATTGCTGCTCGCCTCTGGCCAGATAAAGGCCAGAGAACAAGCCTTATATGCGCGTGCTAAGTATGCCTGCATCCATAGCCAGGAATAGGAGAATTGGGGTCTCAGCGCACGGTAGGTTGCACCGGCGCTTACTGCTGGCGAGCGCAACTGTTCAGTTACCCACGGACTTTGCGTGGTCTGCTGCAATTCGTCAAGTGTATTTCTACTTGTGTGCAGACTTGCTGATTAGGGACCAGAGAATGCCAAGAATTGCTTGCAGTGTTGGAACATGCATCGAAATGTGGCTTAGATGTGGGTCGACGCGCGGTAGCTTCTGGAACAAGCATTGCATCATTGCGCGTTGTAGCTGATGCATGCGGGCTCCCTCTGCAGGGCCCTGTTCGGCTGTGCTCCGGGCGCATGAATACTGTATAGGGGATCCAGTGCATCTGGTAGCTGTGATTGTATGTATTTTGACTCTGCTGCAACTCTTGACGGTTCTCGACTAAGGTCGACGGGCTTCGGTACGTATGGTAGCACCACACGATTGAGAGGGGCAGGCACCAGAAGCGAACCCCCAAAACAGGAGGGCTGATGCATACTACAGATTAGTTGTGGAGGCACTTTCCGAG